AATCTGAGAGCAGTTTTTGCTATATAAAAGAACGAGGAAGTGTCCTTCTCTGACTTCCGACTTGTGCTTATGTGTCAGGAAATTCCATGTGAATGACTTTCTACGCTACGATTCGGCCATGGGTTTTCTGGCTGAACGACAATCATGAGAGAGAAATTGTAAAAGTGACACTCAGTTCCGCACAAACAGACACCGATGGATTATTCAATCGACGTTTCCGCAGCTGCGAACATCCCTACAAAAGTCCATTTTTCAGCGAGAATAAACATCATAGACAGTATAAATGAATAAATATCTTTCACTCCCATTTTCACGATGTTTCTCCATAAAGTGACGCAGTTTAAATGCTGACAGTTCAATATAGGGAACAGCAATAGCCTTATATATCAACGCTTTACGCTTGTTTTAACATTCAATTACCCTATCGTGAAATCCACCATTCAGTGCGATTCGTGGAAAAAGGCACAAACGAACATTGATGAAAAAGGATTCACATTGAGCTCAAATGCCTAAGGAATACAAGGAAAATGAGATTGAAAAATAATTATAAGGACAGTGAACATCATCGCAATATATATAATATTATTTATATTGCGCTTTTTGTAAGAAGTTTCTGAAGGTGGCAGTGAAGAAATTGCTTTCTTATTGATTCTGCAACACTCCAACATTGACCTAGAATATCCAATAGAGCAGAAAAGTGCTCTTAATAAGTAATCTCTGGCGAATGTTGGCCTCAATTTGTCTGATCTGGTAGAATTTTTCTCCCTCTTTAAACACGCTCTTTAAGAGGACGAATTTCAAGTTCAAATCATGGTGAAAAAAAAACGCCTCGTGAAAGTTTCGAATAACTCCTTTTGGGAATCCATTAATTTTGAATCTCGCTGTGTTTAGGAGGGGCGCATAATCCCAGGCTGAAATTACATTTGTGATTAATGAAGAATAAATGCGAAGAGAGCATTTCAATGGGAGCCTTTTAGTAAAATCCTCATGTTTTCGGATCTTGTTCTGTTTAATACCACCATTAACGGTGCTCTTGAGTCTTGGGAGTTTATATTTTTGCACAAGCTCTGTTGTTCGCCAAAAAAGCCGCGTGCAGAAGAGATGATATAATCTTTATCACAGTACTAAGTTGCATAATTAAGCAAAGGAGCCATATTTAAGCATTTACGTGAGACAAAGGTGAAATGAGACTCCGTAAACGGCATGTGTTGATATTTCAGCAATAAAAACTCTTGCATGGGCGAAATTAGTATACATTTGTCAAGGTTTCCGCAAGAGTCTTGCGGAGGAAGCTTTTAACCGGAATTGTTCAGGCTTTGTGCATATTTCTGCTCTTTTAATTAATTAATGCCAAGCGAGAGTGAATAAGATTGTAAGAAAGCGAGAAAATCTTTAGAATACTTTATGACGATGAAAGATCCGCAACTCTTTGTGTCTGCAAATTATCAAAGTTTTCATTAAGATATAAGATTGAATTTGGTGCAAATATTTGCTTCATGCGAATGAAAATGTTTTACTTAAGAATGCTTTGTGGGGGAATTTTCCAGGAGAGCGAACAATGAAATCAGTGATTCAGTATATGAGAAATGTACAATTAATTTAAATTATGTGCTGAAATAGCCAAAGATTCACAGTCATAGAGCTTTGAAATTGAATATGCCAAGGTTACCTGGAATTATGTAAATATATCACCCTTTCTATAATCTAATCTTTGTTGTCTCTTCCTTCCGACATTAAATGCGAAATGCCTTTGTGCCAAATGTCGCCTCAAAGCCGGAGTTTGGTGACCACTGAACACACACTCTGCCTCCGGATTTTCATACCCCTAAACCAATCCTTCAAACACTTAGTACCTCAGCTTTCATAATAAGCTTTGGGGAAATTTACTTGCACATTTCCCTTATTGCTGCATACATGCTTATTAGGCTCACTGTTAATTTCGCAGAGCTTTCAATATTAATTAGGCCTTGATTTAATTTTACGAACAATTTACAACATTATTCAAATATTATATCTGCTATACTAGCAAATATTGAAATAAATCGAATTAAAATATGCATGAATGAATACATAACGAGAGAACGCCATAAAACAGAGACTTGAAAAATACACAATAGGAGTAGCATATAACATATGATTTAATATATGTAAATTATAATTTATGAATATGGATTAATTGACACAAAAAGGACATCAGAAGAAATTCAATCATTCGTAAATACCAGTGAACCGAAATGCCATAATCTGGGATATTTGATTGTATTGAAATGATGTATGAAACAGTTATTAAAATGGACAAATCAACAGTATAATATTGTATTTATTATTTGAAAACATGTTTTAATTAAAAACACGCAAATCGCTCAAGGGATTTTTCCCACAACGCAAAATAAATATGATATTTATGAAAAAGAATTTTCAATATAAAACATGAAAGAAAGCACATTTTATGATACTTCTGTTTATGCAACTTAATCACGTTTTACAGTTGAAAGTCGCACTTTCTTAATAGGATGATAATTTTTCAGCAGAAATTCTTTGACCACAAAGCACAACGGACCATTTTCTTTGAATGACTGTCTTATTAGAGAGGAAAAATATACAACGAATGCACACTGATCGTCTGAATAAAAGTTGCAACTTCCATTTTACTGATGAAAATACTCATTCATTCACATCGCATCGCACCAAAGGTTTTCAATTTAATTTCTCTGTAGTCAGTGCAGGAGATTTTCAATTCAAAGTTAAAGCTATGAAAGGAATAGCCAAGACGTCAAAAGACGTATAATTAAAGTGACGACGGTCTTTGAAAAGTCCTTCGGGCATTCTTAACAAAGGACAACCTCACATTTTTCTATATGGAATTATTTATGCTTTGTAATCTTTTTGAAATTGTGGAGACATTTTGCACTTAGAAAATGAGGTAATCAATAATTTATTCCTTTGAGTGTACAATGAGATTGTATTTGTTCAATTGTCACACATTACAAGCCTATAAATGTGTCTAACATATTCAGAAATGCACTTGTAAGTCCTCTAGAATCCTTTGGCTTCCTTTACCACAAGTTTATGTACTATGCTTCCCAATTGTGGCCACAATCAGACTCCATTGTTCGTGAATGTAGTTGGTGGCTCTTTAATCCATATTATGTGCACACTTGCCGTACGTATTTAAGCTGTTAAGTTTCCAGCATTCTAAGCGCTTCTATCTGCTTAACGGCATGAATAGATTTCGGGGGAAAATGAGCTTTCACCTCTTCTGTGAGTTTTCGAATCAAGATAAAATTACTGAAAGCTCATTTCTCACAGCGTTCACGCAGTTTGACTTTCAAAGGGCGGATAAAAAATCGATTCAAACTGTTTTTCCATTCGACACACGTGATTTTGAGGAAGCTTAGGCAATAGAAGCATTATATATTGCTGCGAGATGTCACCCAAATTGTCGTTTAATTGAGGAAATGGATTGCTTTCACCTGCCAAGTGACAATAATGACTTGGGATATTTTGTTGGGGGAGAGAAAAATTGAAGAACAAATTCACGACGATGCTTCTTTCAGGTCAATGAGCCAGTGTGATGTTTACGCCAAAATCGAATATAACTTTTTAATGCACAGTCTTCAGCTAGGCGGGAAGCCAAAAGGTCCCTTTCTTGGGCTCCTTTGTCTAGAAATCCCTATAGGTTGGTCGACAAGTGACGCTGTTGTGGTGGAAAATGAAATAAATCCAAAGCATCAATTTAATATCCCAACCACGCAATGAAATCGTGTGGGAATGCGATGGACTGTGGTTTACAATCCAGGTAGAATTTTATTTTATTTTTTTGGCAAAACATTATCCCTACAAATGTGGTTCTACACACAATCTGCAAACTTCGAGGGTCGCCCACACGCACGTTTATTCACAGGAAATGCCAAATTAGGCTGACGAAAAATCCATGAAATTTTAAGCTCATAATCTGGGGGAAAATAGGGAGAGACGTATTGGCAATTTTCATGCCAATATTGGGGTCAGTCGCTGAAGCCTAATCATCGTGTTGCGGGGAAGCAGTGAATGGATGTGACGAAAATAGATTTCCAATTATCCACGAGCCTGATTAAATCCACTTGTTGATCCTACGGTATTCATCTCATCGCCTGAACCATTAAATCCAATGTGTAAACCCACAAAATTCAGCACTCATCTGCGCGAAATCATCCCACAATGTTCCCACGCGCCAAACGCTGCACTCACTTCTTGCCCTTCTCGCCTACTCCTCAGCCTCCCGTGGAAGATATCTGCCAAACAACTGTCACTGATTCGTCTAGACTTCTCGATTCTCGCTAAAGAAATTTAATTAAAAGCTTTGAGGGTGTATATAATGCCAACATAAGAGCTTCTGCCAAGAGGAAGAGCTTTAATCAATGCCATTCATGCTCTACTCAAGAAACAACAATTTCTTGTTCGAGAATATATATCGCTTCGTTTAGCAATTTCATCTCTATATTCGATTTCTTACAATTAGGACAAAAAAAAATGTCAAGACAATTGCATAAAATATATTATTCTTGCAATTTCGACGAATTTATATAAGTTCACACAGAGAGAAATGTGAATTTTTATCAACTATATAATAGTGTGATTGAATAGATGATTACGCAAGAGTTATTGAAAATCGGTGGGAAAAAAACAATGAAATGTTTAGTTAAATAAAATCTCTGAATGAAAATACAAATCTTTTGCGTCTCTGCATTGATATTTCTATGAATGGTTATTTTGTAAATACTTTTTATGGGATTATTTTGCCATTTTGTGCGTTTTACCCATTTTACCGATAAAATAGATCGCCTGAAGTGGAGACAAAAAATTGCAATGTGCTGAAAATTTTCATTTAAACGAACATTTTCAATTTGTAAAACGCAATCAATAAATACTACTTGAACTTTTATTATGCGAATAAATATCCATCAACGCAATTCACTGATGAAAGACTGGAAAATATTGTTGGACAGTGATATGTTCAAACAAATAGATGTTCAAATAGATGTTTATCGACGAATTTGGCTTCGGTTGAGAAGAGAAAACTTTTCATGTGGGTTGCAGGAGATTCTAGAATTCAGGGAACAGGAAGAAAATGCAAGAGAATATGCGTTCTTTTCACGATTCAGCGAATGACAAAAGTGTCGACGAAGAAGTTGAACTGATTTCTTGGCAATTAATAATTATATTACATAAGAATAAGCGTCACAATGTTCTTTCATAAAATTATTCAATTTTCAATTGTTTGCTCGAGAATTTTCCACGAATTTTCCACCAAAATCCGTGAATTTCTCAAAAACGATGAGCTTGGCGATGAGTCAGTCTAATGAGGAAGTTTGCCTGCGGTAGAGTTAACAATAAAAAAAATAATTAATCTCTATTTTGCGTTGTGCGCATGATGAAAATTCATTTGATCTTTCCGCCCTAAAAAGTTTTAATTGGATAATTCGCGATTTTCAGAATTATTCTTTTTTCCAGTTAAATCCGTTGAATCCATTTCAATGTCATTAATGGATGACATCTACTGTTTTACTTCGCATCCTAAAACAGCCTAGAAAACGACGGTAAACGAATTTCGTGAGTCCTGTAATCGAAAACATAAAAGTGTTTTCGAGGTGAAATCCTGGGAAAGACGCGCAATCCGCGGATACTAGCCAAAGGCGGATCTTTTTCGAGTACAACACTATATTATTAGTAAGAGAGATTGACAGTGTTACAGAACTGGAGATGCGGAGAAGACGAGCAGGAGTCGCCGAGGGCGGCCTGTAGGAACTGATTGCTGTTGGCTGGGCGCCGGCTGCGCCGCGGCGACTATCTGTGCGGCGACAGTGGCAGCGAGAGTGGCGTGAGACCCTTCTTCTGGATGGCCGCCGCCACCGCGGCTTCCATGAAGTCCAGGTGCTCCTTCTCGGACACGCTGGTGGGATTGCGGGGCGGCGCCGGAGCGACTCCGGGCGGCGCCAGGCCGGCCGAAGACAGTCCGTGCTCGCTGATGGCCATTAGGATGGCGGCGTCCTCGAGGCCGTCGCTCTCGGGCGGCGCCAGGAAGTCCTCGGGACGCACGAAGAACTGGTAGGACTCCACAATGCGGTTCACGGCGTTCTCCAGGATGCATTTGGTCACCTTCTGCTGCCGGAAAGTCGTCAGCACGTCCGCGTCCAGGGCGCACTCTTCGCCCGTGGCCTCCTCGAGGTCCGGCGCGAAGCTGAGGATGCTGCTGACGCCACTAGAGCTGGTGCTCTCTTGATTCTGTCCCACGGACTCTTCGCTGCTGTGCGATCCCTCCGCGGCTTCCGGACGCTGTCGACTCGTGCCCGCGCCCACGTTCACCTCCTCCTCGGACTCCTGGAGTCTCTGTCGTTTGGGGCAGAGCGGCGGACTCGGGGGATTGGCACTCATGTCCTGCCCAGCGGAATGGTCACTGTGAGATTCTCAGCTGGAATGCCTGGGCGTCTCCCTGATGCTCCTTCTCGCCAGGCGCCCGCGCTCTACACCGAGCAGGACTCCATTATCACAGGACACTAGGGATCTCGAGTCCTTTGGCGCTTCCTCCGAATGATTTCACTTCCAAAATTGCACTTTTTGTTTTGATTTTCAGAAAATCTGTCAAATCGACGACTGTGGTGTGCAGCGCTGTCGGTGACAGGGTTCAGAAGCACAAATATTTCGTCGATGAGAGAAAAAGGGCGGGAAAGATAAGAGAATTTCTCTTCTTTCGAATTTGCAATATGTATTAATGCTTTTGATAGTAAAGAAGTTCTATCTCGAGATTTTAAGCTAAGTAAAACTCCATGAAGGCTCTGTATTTTAAACCAAAACAACAATGAAAATCATTTGTATTTCACTCTATTCTGTACTGTATTACCGACTGGCCGACATTTTAGCGGAGACACACTTGAATGCGTTCTACAATTGTTCAGCCGGGATTCCAAATTGGACTTAGGGCGACTTTTGATATAAATTCGTTGAATTCCACAAACTTTCCTTGAATTTCCCAAAAAAGACGCAATTTCTTGAACGCACTTTATTCACTTACACACAAACGAATTCGATTATAAAAATATTTCAACTTTTGATTCAAGGTGTAAAATGTATACACAAGAAACTGTACGAAAATACGAATACACTGCAGTGTAATAAATATAGATCATGCACTGATGAAATCAATTAATTGATTATGCTAATGCATTGGGAACATTACATGCTGTATCCGGTGTTCATCCTGTTGAGCTTCTTTTTGTGCAGCTGGTCAGCCAGCTCCATGGTGACGATCGGCTTCTCCGGGCAGTACTTGGTGGTGTGCGCCTTCCGGCCAGACTGGCCACAAATGGGACACACATACTTGAACAACCGTGGACAGACAACGTTGTCGAAGGCATCCTTTACGGAGTGGCTCAAGTACACTTGCGGAGACTCCTTGTTGTTGAAACAGAAGACGCAATATTCCTTGGATTTCTTCTGCCTCTTCACCTTCTTCTGCACCTTCAGCTGCTGCTGCCTCAGCTCCTGGCTCAACTCCCGATAGATAAGCTCCTCCTGACATGCCTGATACAGGAGGACGCCCTCAAAGAATTGCCAATCCGCAAACTCTCCCTGCTGAAGAGGCGGTGGTGGCGGCGGCGGCACTTCAGTGGTTTCCTGGGTGTCCTCGATGAAACTGCAAATCTCACGATTCAGCAGCTCCCAGTCGTGTTCCAAGGAGTCCGGCGGAGTCCCAATGGGGGTGATCACGGGTGGAGATCCCTCAAATTCACCCGCATCCCTGCCATTCATGTGAAACTCCACATCCACCGGGATGTTGTTGAAGCGATTCTCACAGAAGAATTCCATCGCTCAGGAGCGATCCGCTGTGCGTGCTGAAGTGTTCAGAGGATTTTCCGGGAGCTCTTTAGCTCAATTCCATTAGGTTTTGACTGGGAAAGTCAGGAAAAAAAACAGAAAATACACGAAAATTTTTCACAGCTACACAAACGACGCCACAAAATTTTATAAATGGTGGCAAAATGGCGAAAATTCTCTCCCCATCAGGAGATTCTCATCTCCAACCCGCTCAGGAGCAACCTTTCTCTCTCTATCGCACTGAAAGCCAACACGGCGATCGCACGGGTGCGAGTGAGACAGATGGACGAGAGAACTTTTCAGAAAATCAAAGCCTAGAGATTCTCCTTTTCTCTCTCGAGAGAGTGTGAGAGAAAAGGGTGGGAGAGCGTCCTAAAAAAGCATTGAGGAGTGGGAGGTGTCATTTTTCTTTGTGCGGCAAAACCGGCACAAACGAGAGCAAAACTGATGCAGTTTATCAATTCTTCCGAGAATTTTCTCTCAAAGTGTGTCTCAACAAGATTTTCGGTGATTCCATGGTGTGGTAGTTTCAAAGAAAAGTATCCAAAAGAGGCTGTTTGTTGTGAAATCAGTAATCATTGCGTCTTTTTCTCCCACAAAGCGCCATGCAGAGCATCATGCAGAGCGGCTGAAGAGGGCTTTTGAAGGTCACTGCACTCATTACGGTTGCATTTTGGTGAACAACACACAAAAACAACCTGAATTCCTCGTTGAGAAAAGGGCTGTAAAGCTGGAACAAACCATTCTGTGTATTCCCGGCCACATGTGGTGGCTCTTGAGTCTCCAGATGTTCATTGAAGACTCTAACCGGCCGGGAATCCCCGGGGAAGCCCAAGAAACCATTCAAGAATCTGCAGTCTTCAGGTAAGTGGTCAAAATTCATTGATTATGAGCGTCCAGAAGGAATTCAGTGAGCATACTTCAGCGTGCCACAGAGAAATTGATGAGGACAGAAAAAATGCGCTTCTACGAGTGCCGGAGCTTCCTTTCAAAATCAGTTTTCCCGTCATATCGAGATGACTGCATGAGTGGGAAACCCGGGAGAACCTCTACAAACCCCCTTTACTTAATGCCACTGAAGAGAACTTAAATTGATTGAATTATTCGCTTTATTCCAATACAAATTTCCCGACTTTCTCAATCTCGCCGAGCATCAAAGGATGATTGAAGCTGAGAGTGGAAATGCAGAGGAATGAAAATCATCTAATTATGTGTGTTGGCGAGAGTGGGAAAAAATTCGTGCTTTGCATAATTTTGCCTTTTAAATGAACTCCGCCCCAATTTGACACGCTGGGGCCACTTTGAGTGTCACCCCGGCGGATAAATAATCAATTTGCCGAACATGACTTAATTGTTCCGGCCACATACAAGGCAATTAGAGCGAGCAACCCTTCGGCGGGAGTGGAGCTCGTGGGCAGAGTGGCTGGCGGCACTCATTAAATCTCATAATTTCACAACAGATGCTGCAAATGTGCTCCAGAGCTACAGAGCAAAATGATACCCTCGAAATTGAGAGCGACACTGTGATGAGTCCTCGAGGAGCGCTGCTTTCTGCTGTACACTTCTCACTTCTCTCCAACGCCGCGGCGCTTGTACATCCTGCCACCGACGTCTGAGTTCCGGCGGGAGACGAAAATGAGTCCCGGAGTGCAGATTCGGCCCAAGGGCGAGTGGCTTTCGCAGTTCAGTACAACTTTTGATGTGCCCTCGGCGTCAGAGAAGATTTTCCACCCTTCCCGTGGCTTTTCCACTAACCAATAGATCCCAGCTTATTGTCCTACACAACTTTACGAATCTCGTGTTGTTGCATAGAGTTGAGAGCGTTTTTCTTTTTGGAGTCCAACAGACTTAATCTATTTTTTACGAATCTCTTTCAGGCCAACCAAGGAAGATCTTCTGGACGCTGCTGTCTGTGAACTCTGGCATTGACGGTGCTTCTGTTGGATCACACGTGGATTCTGCTGTTTTCTCCAACAACAACAACCTGAAAGGCTTGAAACTGATAAGAAGACTACAAGAGTGAGTGTTTCTTGAATGTTAATCTACTCAACAGCATGACAGATTTCTGTCGGCGCAATGTCTATCTTCCTTTTATGTCTAAACTAAACTTTCCAAGAGTCTTTCGTTGCCCATTTATATGTTGCAAATCTCACGGAAGACATTATTTCTATTTCACGACTAAATTTTTGACTTTGAATCTGTGACAGATAATTAGAAGTACTTTCACGTATTCTAAAGTTCTTCAAATGAGAGAGAAAAGTTTCGCTAGAACAGTCAATTTAAGCCATAATGCCTATAAATATTGGTAAAATTCGTTTGAAATGCTCTAAAACCACTTCTGGCATATTTAATGCCGGATGTGCATATAAATATTCCATTGAATTGTTTGTTTTCATTGAAATTGTGTTCCCAGAACTATTCAGAACGCTTAATACGAAATATTCCGCATGTTGATAACAGCATTTTTATGAAAATTCCTGGAACAATTCAAAGAATTGTCCAGATGTGATTTAGTGATGATTTCCTTTGATGGAGTCAAAGGGATTTCACATGAGTGAAGTACAAACTCTGCAACAGTGGAAAATCCTGTTGTGAGATAGAAAGGAAGTGAGAAAAGTGGTGCATGTAAAAGATATTATTATAGTAAACTAACACTAAAATTATATATTCTGGGGATGTTCTGAAAGCTGCCACTAGAGCGGGTTGGGCATACTTAAAAGTGGGCTGGAGTGTTGTTATGTTTTCTTCCCAGTGTGCGAAATTAGCTGCTTCTTTATATATGTGTCTATTTTCCGGCTCTGCTCACTGGAGCTTTTTCATATCATAGAATGTTTACATGTAGGCGAAAGTTGTCTCGTCGTGCGAGGTTAAAACATTACAAAATGAGGATATTATTGAAGGAGTTGACTGTTTCGTGTACACAAAATGGTATTTTAGCTGTGCTTATTATTTCAATGCATAGAAATTTACAAGACAAAATGTTCACAGTTGGTTTTGAGCTTTCGTATGTTTGCTGGTGGAATTTCAGCAATAGTGAGTGTAACGAGAAGATATTTTGCAAAATTTAACAAGGAAATTTGATTGGATTTATGTCTTACCTTACATGGCGCGTAATTCGATCCTTTGGAGACTTTCACTTCAAGGATTTCGTTGGCTTTTCCTTTGCTTTCGCCTTATAGGAGAAAAAGACATGTGGGGTGGGCGGGATTTGCGGGGTGGCTGCTGAGGCGAGAAAGCTCAGCGTGTATTCCTTTATGTTGCAAAAACATGATAAAAGCCACACGAGAGGGAGTGCGATGCATTCTTTCCACTGAGGAGTTTTTTGGCGGATCATACGATGTGCCTTTTGAATTTTCCTGCTCGTCCCTCTAAATTCATTTCCCTCCTTATCCATCTTTTTGGGTGACTGAGGAGGTGATCTCGTGAGCTTTTTGCCGATGGGTGGGTGAGTACAAAAGCGTCGCTCTGACAAAAGAACTATTACATGGGGATAAGATATATGAGCATGTCTCTATCTCTCTCTCAAAGTTTGCTACATAAATTTCACTTTGGGAGGAAATGCAATATAGCAATGTCTGAGGGCTTATAGATAATAATTTTGAGCTTACAATCCCATCTTCTACTGTGACATGCATTTAGGGATTGAATTTATCCTTTTCAATGCATTTTAGGATTATCCGCACTGAAATTTAATTTATACCGATGAGAATTCTCAAAGACATGCAGTCAAAATAGTAATTTTCTCTCTGACTGTAAAAGTTTCTGCACCAATTTTTTCTTCTGTCGCTTTTATAGAGAATATCTGTGAAATGCAATACAAGATAGTTTAACCATTTGCACTGAAATTGCTATTCGCTAAAAGCATGATTCGGTGCATGAAATGGGATAAGATAAAACTATCATTTTAAAAATGTGTCTATCTTTTAGGAGAGCTTATTGAAAATTGTCTCCGAATTACGGAGATATAATGGTGAAATTTGAGGAATAATTTCCATTCACTGCAGTTTCATGAAACTTTCTACTATAATTAGATCTGTAGAGATTCTCTTATTCATTAATTTTCGCCATTCGCCACGATCACTTCGTCATTGCCAAAGTTGCAGTAATTAGAGAATCGTAAGATGGAAAATCTGTGTGGATTAACTTCATCGCGTTGGATAATTTTAGTGTGTTTGAACTTTGGCACTTTGGAGATAATTCACAGATTAATTTTTACGTAATTGAAGGTGAAGTGAAGAGACGCGTTAAGTGAGTAGAATTTAAATTTGAGTTTCACACTAAATGAAGGGTGCAATTATTATTCGTTTGCACTTCTTTCAATATCGTAAAAGAATAAAATGCGCTTTTATGCGATGCTGGCGATACATTGAGAACATTCGCCACGATCTTCTTGTGAGCATTGATATCAGAGACAAAGTGCAATGATAATATGAATTATCTCAGCCCGCAAGCTTAATGTATAAATTGACTTCTTCAAATATTGTCTCAAATAATGTATAGCAAACAGTGCAGAGTGAATGCAAACTCATTAATGTGTCTGAATTCAGTGGTGAATTTTGGGAAGACGTTGTCAGAAGAGAAAAGGAATATAATTGAATAAATGGCACGAGTCAATTGTTAAGTTTTAATTAGGAAGTTACAGTGATTTCTTTTGTGTTTCCTCGCAATCGTCTTGGGCGGTGTAATCAAAGTTCCACCCAGAGACAGAGTGTGTGTGTGGCTGAAAGTGAAAAGAATGGATAGCGGAAGTGATACTTGAGGAGTGACATCAACATGAATTGCGACAATTGAGAGGATGATTGACATAATTTAATTTTTATCACAACTTTTTATTTACACTCTTATTCACACATATAAGTTTTAATGCTATTCCCACACAATATCATGGAGCAAATGGGATGAGTTTCCAGTGTGAAATTGAATTGTGAGTGTGCTTAAAATTGAATTATAGCGGAGTGAAATTTGTGTGGAGTTATATCTTTAAATAAGTGGAAAATGTTGCAAAATTATAATTGAATTGGTGAAAAGGCTGATGCACAATTGAATTGAGTGGGTTGGTGTTTTCTGTAGAGTGAAAGATAGGCGAAAAGTGTGTGTTATGCTTGATAGTTCTCAGTGAGAATAGTGGCGATGGTTTAGAGTGGAGAGCTTGAAGCTAAATGCTCTATCGAGGCGTTACTAATCCGATAGCACGGCGAAAACCACACCAGAATAGCCGGATGAGATGATGCTGAAGAACAAAAGTATTCTCTATTGAGTTGGCTGCAAATCTCGGTGTCCGCATCAAAGGGAAGAGACAGCACACGCAGGAGGCGGGAAGATCATCAGCCAGCGTATGCCTGTATCAGCTTAGTCCACTCGGCCGGATACGTTTTTTGGACGTACGCCAGAGTCCGGCGAATCTGACTCATTTCAGTTGGAGTGCACTGTGTGCATCGGGCGACGGAATGAATGAGGCGTCCAATTTTGTTGTGCCGACGTTTGGGCATGGAAGAGAGATAGGCGAGAGAACGGTGAATAAAGGATTAAATATATGTATGTGCTGTGCTTTTTTTTACCCACCACGGCAAGGGTCAACAAAGGAATGCGATCAGAGTTGATGAAAGACAATCGGCTCGAGTTCGGGATAATGCAAAATGCCAGTGAACTCAGTCATTCTAAAGCTCACATGTTTGTTTTGCTAAGTGACTTGGATTGAATTTCCACCAAGGCTGTCTTGATGGTAAGAAAATGCTAATGACTGTGGTTTTAGTTCACCTTAAAAGACTGGTCATTTCAGTTTCTTTTTAACACACAAAAAGACTACTCAATTGGCTTGTGTAAAAATATTGCAGAAAAACAGCATTTTTGTATTAAAAATGAGATATTCTGGGCTAATGTACCAAGGTTAAGTCAGTTAAAAAGGTCTGAATATGCAAGAAAATTTCAGAAGTATAAAACTTGTTTATCTTATGTGTGTATAATATTTCCAAACCGGAATGTTTTTCACATGAGTGTTCTTCGATAAGAAAGGGTGTTTCAATGATATTCACCCTGGAAAGCTTTTATGAAAACAGATACTTTCAGATGCACATTTTAGGAATAAGAACTTTTTTTCAATCTATCTGCTTTATCAACTCTGAGGTGAATTTTTGTGTCTGATAGGCGAGACGTGGATAGATAGAAAAGTTTGGATGTGAAATTTAAATAAACGAACCTGTGGACAGCTGCCCCGGAGCACGAATGGAGCCAGACCTGATGGCGATGTGGCATGTCAGTTAAATGCTTGGTGCAGGAATTAATCAAAAACTTACTCTTGAGGCGTTTGCCAACGGGATCACAGGGAGCCTCTCCGATGGCGCATTTGAGCTGTCTCATCAAGTAACGCTTGTCCTGGAGGGCTTTGTCGATGACTTCATCGGCAACGGGCGGACGAGTGGCGACAGATGCTGAAGATGCCGAGTGCAGCAGGAACAGAAGGACACTCGCCGCAAAGAGCAGCTGAAACGAAAGTGTTTCCCATGAAATTCGATTCTGCAAGTGCGAATGATGTGCGTGTGTGAGTCACACACAATGAATGGCAAGTGAGATACGCATGTCAATGGTTAATTAGTGTGGTACTCAATCGACCTGAAATGTGAGAGTTTTCCATTAGAAGAAATATTTGACGAGTATTTGAGGAATGTGCCTTTATCGTCTGCAGTTGTAACAATGCGGGGAAGAGGAGGATGTGCGAGAAAGGGCCTCAATTGTGCTGAAATATTGATAAGTTTTGGGCACATTTCAGGACACACTCTGGGTGGTGGACCCTTTTGGCGTGAATTGTTTGGGGCGTCTATTGAGTTCGCATTTTGGAAAATGTTATCGCTTAACCCAGATCCACCTTATTGTCGGCATATTGGTTGCATTTTTTATGTGGCGCTCTCCCCAAAAGATTTGGCAATAAACTTATTTTACTGTTTATACGGTGAAGTTATTAAATGCGAAGCAGACGGAAAGCTTTTAGAGTACACAAACACACACACACACACCGGGTGGCAATATGAGGTGGAATGCTGGAGCGATAAGCGTGTGAATAAGCAAAGTGGAAACGGTTGGAAGTGTGAGGATCGAAGTTTATAATCGAATCCAAGTGTTAGCTTTAATGCAATAAAACGTTTTAAATTGAAGCACTCAACTCTGTAGACCAGTCATGTCTCGAGCATTATGCTGGAGATCTTGGAGCACAGCATAGGCGACAAGAGAGCACAGAACATGTGCACAAAAGGGAAAAGTTCCAGATTATGTGGTCAGTGGGTGATTCAATTGTGGATTGCGGGGGTGTGAGACACAAGAGTTCAATCTAACAAGGTCTTTCAATTCCCAGTCAGCCAAATGGAGATCCGGCAGAGCGATAGGGTGTTCTGACCATGAATCAGAAGTGGGGAATTCGGGGAAAATGGAGCGCCGATGGGGGTGGAGTGGCGGAGAGTCACAATGAGTGAGAGACAACCCGAATACAATGGTGCGAAGCCCGAAGATTGAGCAATTGACGATGAGGATGGAATGAAAAAATAAACTTTCATCGCATACCCTGAGATTCAATGCAGATGGTGACATTGTCGGAATATTAATTGAGTCGGAGTCTTGTGAGTTTAATTGAAGAGTGCAAAACTGATTTAATGATTTTCCCACTGGATGACGAGACGGGAATGCTCACTGGAGATGTGCGCAAGGAGTCGGGCGTCTTGGGGTGGTTGGTGGTGGGCAAAGGAAATCACTTCACAGCGCGTTCCGGTCACACTAGAGTGAGTATCACGAAAATACGCGCGCCACTATTCGAGTTGACGGCACAAATTCAATAGACGCGAAAGTATGGAATGCTCACTAAATAACACTGCCAGCCAAAACTGACGATGGGATGGGTTCGGGTGTGAAAGAGAGTTGGAGAGCAAACTTATTATTTTGTTTGAGCTCCGGAGGAGTGCAGAATTGAACTGAAGTTGTACTGTCAGCAGTTTTGGCTTTGACGCTCGCAAAATTGGATGCGGTGGTGGAAAAAGATGAAGAGCTGGTGGTGGCAAGAAGTTATTTGTATTCCCCTCCTTTGAGTGCCGTCTCTCCCACTGCTTCGAGTGCCACTCGAGCGTTCATGCACCTCGAGAGTGACCGACATGGATTTCCCCGGCTGATCATTTTCCAGTTTTTTGCCCCGCGCGCTCGAATTTCCTCCACCAACTCGTGCCGCGCGGCACTCTGTGTAGGTCCAATTAAATGTCATCTGACCGTTTGCAATTATACAATATCTCGCATAGCCTTCAAAAAATGTGTGGCGCTCTTTCTTCGCACGCCAGCCAAAGTCATAATTCAGAGCTGGGAAAATAGCCCAACGACGTACTTTATCATCTCTTGACTCCGGCGGACCGACAAGTTCCCGTCTTCATATTCAAATATTAAATCCCATCCGTGGCGGGGAGTGGAAATTAAATTAAATTATGCTCATCATAAATTTCTCGCTAATTAATTCCAAGAAATCGAAAGTTGCGTCAGATAATGTGTCGTCTTCAATAAATTGTTGGACTTTTATTGGGATGGTTTTTGATAAATGTTAAGTCATGGATCCAATATTAATGAGACCTTTCGGATATATTTTCATCTTCGGAACCTGAGATTCATTAACATACAATGAATTGCTGCGAAATATCGCGAGAGGAGATTGCGATGAAGGGGTTCATCATTCGACAAGTACTTGGATTACACTTTTATCATCGAGTGCAAAATATGATTATTCCATTCCAAATAAATTGTCATTAAAGTGTGCAATTAATACAAAAGTCTTTTCAAAATTATTCATAATTTATCTGGCTTAGAATGATTGCTCTATTGCAATTCATAAGTTCTGCAGATAGATAAAGTTTTGAATCATTTTCTGTGAATGATGTTTGTGTGATTTTCAATTTCAATTTTGGGGTATCTAAATTCAAATTGGGTAGCAAAACTGTTTGCTATCCTCCTGTTTCGACAAACAGGACAAACATGTAGAATATCTGTTGCATTAACAAACCCTCGGGTGTAAATTTATGAAATCAGATAAATACGTTCTACTGTGGCTGTTTACGGGCAAAGCTTGCCAGAGCTTTAATGGTTCTGACTCGTTCTGCCCCAAAACATTTGTACGTGTTTCAACACAAATACGATTTCTCGCCAATTGCGTTGCAATAAGTCAGAATTACACATTTGACACTTATCAGAGATATAAGTGGCTGAAATGTAAAAATTATGGACATTTTCGTATACTTTTTCTATCTCGATTTGGCACTCAAAAGTCTGTGTAATACTTTCTCAAACATGCGGTGCAACAGGTATTGAGGATGTGTGCCTTTGGTGGTTGATAAAAATTCAGGGAATCCACTTAAAAGTAAATTAAAGTTGGTGCCAATAGCAGTGCAAAAAAGCACTTAGCGTGGGATTAAGCGGTTCCTCTTTGGATCCTTGCGGGGTGAGTTTTTGACGCCTCTCAGCTGTTGTGCTTCACAGCAGCGGAAGGAGAGTTATGACGGAGGAAATTACCTCTTGATTGTGCCGTGCATGGAATTTATCCAGTCATATTGTCTGTGCAATAAGGGGACAAATAGCGAGAGACCTCCTATTGGTGCGATTCTGATGTCATGACAATGGGCGAGCAATTGTCTGGGTTCGTGTGCACTTGATGTTGTTCAATCGTCCACGGGAGGCTGAAAGATTGATGTACACAGAAAGGCTAAAGTTTCGCTCAAAACACACCGAAATATTTCACCTCATAGTCAATGAATTGTAAAATTCAACACATTCAGCGGCATTAGTTTGGTATGTCAAACGGTTGAAGTTGAAAATCGATTTGGAATTTGGAGCATAAAATGAGAGTTGTATAGCAAATGGAGTAAAAACACGGAGTTTACATAGATTTGAGTGCATCTGAAAGTTTCACAATTCTATCAATGGAGGCTTTAGTCCTAATGCGGGACATCGAAAACAGAGACTATCTGGCGTGAGTTGTATGTTTATAAGTTGGACGCCATGAGGGATTTATGTGAACTCAATCGGAACTCGAAGGTTCATAACACGGCAATTTTCACTAGAAGACAGACATATTGGCACACATTCATTTGGTTGGGATTTCCATTGTAAACAGTGAGAACAATCCGCATGTTTTCTGTCCGCACAATTGATGCGAAATCTCCTCTTGTCACTGTGAAAATAATGTGAGAGGAAATGGAATTCACCTGTGCAAGTTCTCTGTCTAAGAAGTGCACCACGTGTGTCTTCAAGCATAACATCTAAGGCTGACGCTGAGGCACTTTGATGTCTCAACACCAAAGCATGAGACAGCTCTCAGATGTTGGTGGTGATTTCTAGTGGAAGGCGAACGTACTTCACTGGCGGCCAAGATCATTCCATTGAGAGCAAAAGTGAAACACTGACCATCGTGCACACATTTCATTCGCCATGAATGCAGTCATACGAAATGGCAGTAAAATTACACCTTTAATTTTGCATAAATTCCCATTCTGTGGCTCAAAGGGGAACATTTTTGAACTTTGCAAACAATTCACGTAAACTTTTTTGATCTCGTGACTGGCGAATGCGTACGAAAGAAGTGTTGGTTGACAACACTTTCATGTGAACTGCATGGAACCAGTATATATCTGGAAAAGTCCACAACTGGCATAACACTACTAACGTCTTTATCTATGGGCAATTACATAAAATTGGCACTCATATGATGATGATGGATGTGTGGAGATGATTTGAAGACGGCAATCATGGTGTTATTGTTGAGGAAATGACTTTCTAACACAGTAAATTGAATGAGTTGTTATAACAAGTGAATGAAGATTTGAGAGAAATGCTTAATTCAATTCCCTTTCTCATAGACACAAATTTGTAATTACTGTAATTTTTCTTAAGGTCCGCATGGCAATTTTGACTTCCTTCAACATCGTTCGTCTTGAAGCAAGAGAAGCGACGATGATTAAATTAAGGTGCGAATCATGCGTCAATTCTGATAGTATTCCGCATATTATAGCTAAATCTCTAAAGACGATTTCCATATATTTGAACCGGTGACAGAGGCAAAGCGTGAAGATTAGGCATCAGTGTAATTCATATGGGTTCCATCGTTCACCGATTTTGATTTCTATTCACGCAAATTATGCATTATTGATGGAGTGCTTAGCATATTATCGTGGCGTTGTTGCCATATGTACTATATGCTTTCCACTTATGAGGCTTAGCATTCAAGATAGCAAAACACCCGTGAATTCATCTCTATTCAGCATCCTTAATAATTAACTGTGGCACTGGTGCTTCAGATAAAGCATATGCGAGTGTTAATTTTCCAGTAATCTGAATTTTCACGGTATGTTGAGTGATTCAAGTGTGCAGAGAACACTCCTGACTGTGTTATCCGCTGTTTGGAGGGGAGTTTAGGTGAGAACAGCTAATCTGTGAGTTTTTCATTGCGTTAGTGACAATAGTTTGCACCACTTATTCTCACTGTAGCTTCGGAATATGCTTGACAGATTCTCAGCAATTGGATTTTCCGAGAAATAGAATGTGTGCAGTAGAAGCATGTTGAGTGGCTTTTGAGTGTGCTAATCGCATTAGTCGATTCCTCAACTCTTCAACACGAATTAAACTATTGTTTTCACCTCTTGCAATTGATATTTCACGTTAAATTTATTCATCTCAATTTCCTCAGTTGTATTGCTAACAGTAAGAAAGTTTCCCCTTAAATTGCAATTTATTTCGGGACTTTTATTCCCCTTCTAGTCGTGCTTATTGATTGCTGCACCAATTTTTTTCCGCATCACCAATATTATATTACCTTTATTTGCGAATATTGGCGGGATTAAATTCTGTAAGGGAAAATTAAATTAAATTTAATCAAAATACATTTTAATCCATTGTGATTATTCTCTCTGGAGAGATAAAATGAAATAATAACCATTTTGTATACACCTTTATTCAGCTGCACACCATTTTTGTGTCACTTCATGCTGGCGAGGTGAATTTCATGTCGGAAATGCAGTCTGAAATATGCATAGTTTGTGATTTTCATGGAATATTAGCAGCATCTTAAATTCTCGTTTCTATGTGTCAATTATTGCTTTCATTTCAACATTTGGCAAATTCACATTGTCAAAAAGTGCATATCAAAGTGAAAAACATTGAATCGCAAATGAATTTGTGTAAATTGCTAAATTGAATTTTGTACAATCTCAACACGCGACATTCAGTGTTTGAAATTGGAATAATTTCTCTTCATGCGTTATTTTATTTAAATTCTGTATGTGAAAGAATATTTTTATATTTGGTGAACAGAAAGAAGCAAAAATCGCATTGATGTAATTTTTTTTCTTTTTATCCTCTTATCGATTGTTGAAATGTGATTTTACATTGATGCATCCAATTAAAATAACAGGCAGGCATTAATTAAACTAATGATTTAGGTGAAAATATGAGTGAAGAAGAATGATTGAGAGGCATAATGGCATATTTGGTTTTAATTGCAATATTTCGTATGACTTTGCATAATCCGTAAATGTATTGTTTGTTCAATTGAATAATTTTAAGCAGTAAATACATCAATCATTTAATATTCATGTTGCATTATTTGACTGAAAATCAATCACTTCGCAGAGCGGAAATATTGATTTTGCCACGCAACTTTTGTGGTTGTCTCATCAATTTTCTCCCAAAAAAGACTTTCAGCACATCA